GCCAACTCGTCAAAGAGACAAGTGAAGCCGATACTTTGACCAAACGTGTGCTAGGGTCTAGACCAATCCAGCTGAGCCGTCGAACCCAATGACTAGCCAATGGGGTTACGGCAAAAGTGGGCAGCACAAGAGACATCATTGGCCTTTTCTCTGATTGGCTAATGACTTTGTGGATAAATAAGTTGATTCTGTGTCATCAATTCCAGTTCGGATAGACGAGGATAGGCCGCAGGCGTCGCTTTCCACTGCAACTGCAACAGCATGACACGGCAGCACCAATTGCTGCAGCATTTTCATCCCGCCTGCGCGCATCAGGTGGCCACGTACCATTTGGCGATGAAGCGAGAGGAGAACGCCGAGAACCTGGATCGTCCGGCCCCCAGGACCAGGCTGTCCGAGTCGTCTCATCAGATCGGCTGCCCCATCGACTGTTGGCCCGAGCCCGGGCCGGGCGAGACTGTGCAGTTCAACGACCAGTTCACGGGGCACCCCAGCGCCGCTTGACCGGCCGCCATCAACGACCGACTCGGAAGATAGGCCTTTTCCTTGTCCAGTTCCTGGTAAGTTCAAAATCACTTAATCCGTTTGCTTCCCTTTTGCCGTCGCGACCAAACGTCGATTCTTCAAAACTGTGACCGCCACACTTAAATGGGTAGGCCTCATGATGTCCGTCCTAAATAATAATTCTTTTTGCAAAAGCAAGTCTATTGTCGTATCTACTGGCATAATTGAGGGAAAATTAAGCTACTAGTCCGCTTGTCATCTTTAACGAAATAGGGTGAACACACCTCATGTATAATCTGCCTACAGTCTCAAAATTCTGCATTCAAAAAAGTTTACCACAAAGAACATAAGAATGAATCCCCGCTGAGGGCTCTGAGGAAAGGTCGGTGTTTCAGTCCATCCTGGATGGAAGTAGCCCAACCGTTCTAGGACATGTAGTTGAATTTTTGCCACAATGATGTGAGTAGACTTTTCGTTTCCAGTGAATTTCACACCCCCATCTCCCTCTTTCCCATTTAAGTTATAACCATCACTCCGATTGCGCAAGGTCGGACACGTCTGGTTTTGTTGATGAGCCTATTTTTGGTTTTTGGTTGGGTCGACTAGTTGCGTCGAATGGGATGACAAGTCTCTCCAACATAAAAGCGACCACATGAACACATTATTTTGTAGCAACCCGA